ACAATCCGCCATTACCACCATGGCAGAGTATAACAAGAAGACACAACATGGCCAGACGCACTAGTCACCCTACCGTACATCAGAGGCATATCAGAGATGACCACAAGACTACGCAGACCCCTAGCTATCAGAGTAGCCCACAAACCAACAACCACCCTGTGACAGCTACTGACAAACATTAAGGATCCCATACCCACAACCAATAAAACTGACATAATATACAAAATACCATGCAAGGACTGTGAAATACATTACATTGGACAAGCTGGAAGAAAATTGACCATAAGGATACATGAACGCCAACTCGCCACGAAGAGACGCGACCAATTCTCACTGGTCTCAATACACACGGACAAAGAGGGACACAAATTCGACTGGGACAACACATCCATAATAGCACAAGCCAAACAGAGACATACCAGGGAATTCCTGGAAGCCTGGCATTCCAACCAGAACCCCATCAACAAACACATCAAATTGGACCCGATATACAAACAACTGAAAATCAGAACCGGAAGTCATACCAATCACCCCAACAAAGGGAGACATTTAAATAACAAGCGGGACAGAACATTGACGCTTCACCGGAGGCGCACTGATGATGTTACCTAGCAGGGTGACAAAACGCCTGCAATCAAACCCACCGGCTCAGGGAGCAAATCTGCAACTTCAGTGTCCTATTGCATAAGGAGAATTTGGAGAGTCCAGTGAAAAGTGGTGAAATAGTGGTAGGAGCAATAGAGGAATTCTCTGTTCCAGAGAAACAATTTATCTTCGGCAATGATATAGCTGGATCACAGGTGGGAATGATGCTTTCTGTAGTTGAAAAGCCAGTGGAAAATCAGGCAGCACAGATGTCACAGGAAGTATATCTTGGGAATTTTTCTTGACTGTGTGGTGACAAGTTTACAAAGCCACAGGTTGAAACAGGAGGAGAAACAAAAGGATAAGGATAAAGAAGTTGAAGTTCAATGATCAGAAACTATATTTGTGATGAAATGGTTGAGAAATAAAGTGGTGGGCAAAGTGCTTATTTTTAGATCAAGAGGTTAGTTAAATTACAAGATAAAAAAATCTGAAGGCATTGTGTCAAAAAGCATGCACAGAAGAAGAATCTGGGTGTATCCCAGATTGTTACTATCTTCATGAAGTCGTGATGAGGAAATGGAGACCATTACATATCCAGGTGGATGAAAAATGGTCAGAGATTCATCAAGTTGTATTGCTGCTGGGTTATAGAAAGGAGGTGTTGTGGGTAGCACATGAGGCACCAGTAGGAGGTCATTTGGGAATAAGGAAGACTCAAGCCAAAATACAAAAACATTTTCATTGGCCTGGAATACATAGAGATGTAGCTGAATTTTGCCAGACATATCATACATGTCAGATAATAGGAAAACCAGCACCGTTAATACTTATTTCTGCCCCATTTCTGAAGAAGGGTCCCAACCTGAAACGTCAGCTTTCCTGCTCCTCTGGTACTGCCTGCTGTGTTCCTCCAGTTCCACACTGTGTTATCTTACCGTTAATACCTACTCCAGCATTTGAAGAACATTTTAAAAGAGTCTGATTTGTTGCATAAAACCCCTCCATAAAACAAAAAGTGGGAATCAATATTTGTTGACTATAATAGATGTGTCTACTGGATTTCTGGAGGCCATTCCATTACACAATATCATGGCTAAAAGGATTGCAGAAGAGTTACTCAGATTTTTCACGAGACACAGACCACCCATAGAAATACAATCAGATCAAAGTCAAGTTTGACACCAAAATTATTCAGGCAAGTTATCGATAGCTTAGGAACAAAATCATTCAAATTCACTGTGTACCCTCTAGAATTGCAGGGAGCACTAGAAAGGTGGCATCAAACTTTAAAGATCATGCTAAGGGCTTATAGTGAAGACTATCCAGAGGATTGGGATAAAGGAATTCTATCTGTGGTTTGTGCAATTAGGGATGAACCTAATGAATCAACTAAATTCAGTCAATTTGAGTTAGTTTTCTGACATGGGGTGAGAGGACCATTGAAATTAATTAAGGAAAAATTGGTCAGTTAGAGTTCAGATACCCCATATTTGGACTATGTCAAATTTTAGGGAAAGATTAAATAGAGTGGGTGAGTTGGCTAGACAGCATTTAAAAGTAACACAGGATGTGATGAAACAGGAAGCAGACAAGAAATCAAAAATTCATAGTTTTGCTAGAGGACATAAATTGTAAGTATTATTACCAATGGCAGATGAACCTTTAAAATTATGGTTTGGTGGGCCTTGTCAAAACAAAAGGAGATTGAGTGAATAGAATTATTTGTTAAGAACACCAGGTAGAAGGAAAACTCATAGAATATGCTCAAAATGTATTGTTGTAGTGAAGGAAAGCAAAAGGAAAACCTGTTACTGGTTACACCACATTGTGAAGAGCTGAGTTCAGACAAATTTGAGTTTGATTTCTTCAAATTTAATTGGATAATGAGAAAGTTCTCAAAAATTGGGATAAATTATTAAATTGCCTTCCAGAGGAAATTTGAAATGATGAGAAATAATTATTACTATCGCATGGAGAGATATGTGGTTATAAGCTAGGAAGTACTAATTTAATTTTGCATGACATAGATATAGGAAATGCTGTTCCAATTAAGCAACATCCTTGTTGTCTTAACCCTCTAAAATTGGCACAGGTTTCATAAGAGATTGAACGCATGCTCAAAGACAATACAATCGAAGTGAGTTGCAGTGTATGGATTCCACCCATTGTGATGGTGCCAAAACCTGATGGTACCCAATGTTTATGTGTTGATTACAGCGAGGTCAATGCAGTTACAAAATCTGATTCATGTCCTACTTGATGGTTGGAGGACTGTACTGTGAAGGTGGGACAGCAAGTTGTATTTCAAAGTTGGACTTTCCCAAAGGAAATAGGCAGTAACCTTTATCCAAGAACATGAAGGGTACGTCAGCTTTAATGACATCAAATGGACTTTACCAGTTTAAAGTTATGCCATTTAGAATGAAAAATGCACCACCTACATTTCAAAGACTAACCAATAAAGTCATTTTGGGATTATCCAAATGTATGGTGTACACAGATGATCTGGTGATTTTTTTGTCACATGTGAAAAGAGCATTTGCAACATCAATCAGAATTATCTGATCGACTTTGGGGGCAGGCTTAGTGATAAACCTAGTTAAGTGTGAATTCACCAAAAGCCCAATTCATGTTCCTGGTCCATACCACTGGACGTGGACAGATGGCCGCGTTGAATGTGCAAGCAAAGGTTATTGGGGAGTTTCCCATACCATCAATGAAGAGGAAAGTTCTATGATTCCTGGGACTGAGTGCTTTTTATTGCAAATTTGTACCAAGTTTTAGCAGTGTGGCTGCTCCACTGACTGACCTACTGAAGAAGTGCAGAAAATTTCAGGGGACGGAGCAATGTCAGAGGCATTTAACAGCCTGAAAGCTGTGTGAACCAAAATCCCAGTGTTAGCCACACCTAATTATGAAAAGTGATTGATGTGGGTAACAATGCCATAGTCTTACAAGAAGACAATGAGAAGATAAAAAGACGTATTGAGTATTTTTCCAGAAAGTTGAATATTTGTCAAAAAGTATATTCCATGATTGAGAAGGAGACATTGAGTTTGGTGTGGGTGTTACAACATTTCAACGTTTATGTTGCCAGTGCCATGTCTGAGATAATTGTATATACTGGTCATAACCCCTTAACCTTTTTGGAAAAAATTTAAGCATAAAAATTCCTGACTGTTTAGATGGAGTTTATTCTTATAGCCATTGAATGTGAAAATCGCATACGTGGCAGGATGAGAGAATGTAATTGCTGACAAGTTGTTGTGACTGTGCTGAAGGAAGATGGAGGCATTTCGTGGTGGGCGAAACAGATTAAAATGGATTGTAGTAGTGAATGTTTGAATGCTTAGAGTCATTGTACTGTAGTATACTATTAGGTAAGGCTAAAGTTTTTGAAGACTTAAGCCATCTTTTGTTTATTGATGGTTCATTTTTAAGGGAGGGATGGAGATCTGACAATAATATGGCCTTAAGAGTTGTATCTTGTCCTTCTTCCTTTTATGAAGAGAGATTGAGACAGAGTTGGAGTGGTCTATTCCAAGTCAATAAAGTAAACAGCTTGTGAGGCCATGGTTTTTATTTTAAGTTGGAACAATAGAAGCAGCCTGAATGGGTGGAGTCAGGCTCCTACAGAACCAGGGTTTTAGTCTAACTTTCAGTATTTGTTGGGGTTTTGAAGCTGCCATACGTCTCTCTCTGCTACAGGGAAACACTTGAGTTCTCTCTCTCTCTGCCAGAATTTTCTCTTGTTCTTTCATCCAGGACTTGAAAATTGCCTGTGAGCCTATTTACTGAATTAGCCTCTGCCATGGGTGTGTTTATGGGATATTACTATATTGGAACAGTAGCTGATTAGCAGGTAAAGCATCTATTATTCTGTTAAGTTTTCCACTAGAGTTAATGTTTATACCAATTCTTCTTTCCTTTGTTTGTATTTTAACTCTAGGGTAAGAATAAAGTGTGTTTTGTTAAATCAATCAAATTATATCTGGAACACAGCACTTTACACTTGCCACTAAATAAGATATAAGTTTGGATCTGGACTATGTCCTTGATATATTTAAGGTGGTATTTGGCCTTGCCCACACAAAATAAAAATATCAACTTATTCGTTTCAGTTTAGAAAAACTTCAGCTTAGTTTGGAACGGGCCAGTTTTATCTCCAGGAAGGAGAACAGAGTTTTTCAATTCCATTCAGGGGAATCGTCACCTTAACAGAATTAGGAACATAAGGACAGGCCATTCAGTCCCTTGTGTCTGTTCCGTCATGCAGTGAAATTATGGCTAATCTGTGGCCTAACGCCATATCCCTGCCTTTGGCCCATAACCCTTAATACATTAATGAAAAAAAAACTTTCTCAGTTTTAAAATTAAGAACTAATCTAGCATCCACTACCGTTTGTGGAAGAGAGTTCCAAACCTCTCCCACCTTTTGTGTGTAGGAGCGATGCCTAGCATCTCTCCTGAACGATCATATGGCAAAAAAAAATCAATAATACACATCTTTTTTTCAGTAATGCTCAAGTCTTGTGTTACCAAATGATTATTTATAACATTTGTTGTAACTATTCTCCAATAGGGGTGTTCTTTTTATCCTTCTGCCCCTTAACACATTGTCTTTGCATTGCGTTGTGTGAATATGTCTGAGTTTGGGATTAAAGGGATATAGATCTTATTCCAGATTATTGCAGTGAATAATATCCAGTGTTTGCCACTTTTTTTAAGAATAAGTGTGTAATATAACTGGATTGCTTTTTGGTTGAGGAGGGATGGTGAAAGTCTCTTACTCCACGTTGTAACACACGAATGAAACAATTTGGCCATGTCAGTGATGAAGTCAATAATTTATATAAATAAGTGGAGTGCTAATAATAGTGGAGTAATGTGTATTGAGTAACAGCCCATTCCCCCAGTCAGAGTCATAAAATCAACCAAAATATTATTCAATGGAAGGTCATGTTTGAAGGATGGATTTTCTGTTCCCAGAGCGTAAAACCCAAGAAATTTCAAGTAACAGATGTTTGGTAAAATAGTGACCAGAAAATCTGACCACATCATATTCTTCATGATTTACATTAACAAAATATTTTTCACATCTAGTTTCCCTGGACTCATAATTCGTCAAAACTGTATCAAAATTTTACAAATTGACCAATTTCAAGGATGATACGATGATCTTAATGCAGTTAGAGTCTCAATTTGAAATACACTGGATTTAACTTCCAATACATTGATAGATTCTCGTTGAGCTTGATGATTTTGCTGTTGACGTATGAAAACTGAAGTAAATATAGTATAGCGTTATTAAAAAGCACAGAACGAAGCCCTTGAGCCCAGCCAGTGCCACTCTCCCACCCATATCCCAGTCTCAAGCCATCATGCTACCCTTCTGTTCTTTTTTTAATCCTTATATACCCGAAGTGTCCCTTAATTGCATCTATGCTTTTTGCGTCAATTCCCTTAGGTACCCAGTCGCTGCATAGACAGTTTGTTTGATCTGCGATTAAAGGCATACTGAGAAATCTTGTTGGGAATTAAAACCAGAAGCAAAGCTTCAAACATAAAAAATACAGCTTCATTAGTTGTAGTATCGTCTGTAATTCTGGGTGTCTCGTCAGGATGGATTCTGAGAGGGTACTTCCCCTTGTTGCAGAGATGTTGACAAGGAAACAGTCAAAAGATTGCACGAAGTTGGAAACCAAACTTTTCAAGGTAAAGTTTTACAAAATGTGTGCTTTTGTTTTTCTGGGAAAGTGAATGGAAGAGGATCAGGGAACTCTTCTGGATTTTATAGATGCGGTTCCTGTACAATTGTTCAATCTTCATAAAACGGATCGCCGACGGGAATGATAGTTCAGGCATGATTGGGATAAATAGGTAACATCCTCAAGAGAAACTGCCTAGTATCTAAAAAGAAAAGTTAACATTTCGAGTCCAGAATGACTCAAAAGTGTTTTTTCTTTTCCGAACTATTGATTTGTTTTAATTTTCTGGCTGTAGCTTTTTTTGGTGACAATACTTGAGTGGCTCTGAAAAGAGCCTTTTTGTGTTGAGCTCTGTCTCTGCTCCTAGCACTTTTACCTTCTCTTCTTCCCCGTCATCGCCCGTTTCCCCGCCGCCCGCTTGGGGGTTTTCCTGGCCTTGGCCGCCGTCCCCTTCCGGGGGCTTTTGGCCGCCGCTTTCTTGGTGCGTTTGGCCGCCGCCGCCCTTTTGGGAGCCGCTTTTCTCTTGGTTGCTCTTTGCTTGGGCCGATCCTGAGCTTCTCCTTCCTCCCGTCCTTCCTCCGCCACCTGCTGCTGCCTCTGCTCCGACTGCAACGTGGATGCGGAGGTCCCGGGCCCACTTTCCGCCGCCGAGCCCCCCCTGTTGGCCGAGGTGCTACCGAGCGGCGGGTTGGGCCGACCCGGGCCGCCCTTCTCCGTCGGCTCGTAACCCGCGGCCGAGATGGTTTTCTTCAGAGACCCGCCGAGCTTGGCCGGCGCCTGGCGCTCCTTGGCAGCGGCCACCGCCTCCAGAATCTGCTCAGCCGCCGCGGTGGTAGCGCCACCTCCTCCACCTTTCTGAGGCCGGTAAGCGGCTTTCTTCTTGGTGGCGGCGGGGACTGCGGCAGATTCCGGGGCAGTAGCCGCCAGGACATCACCTCTAACGGGCACAGTCTCCGCCATCAGACACCACTCCGCGCCCGTCGCACCCAACAACTGGCGGGGTCGCGGCAGCCTACGTTCTATATAAGGAACGGGAGCGGACGGCGTGGAGACAACTTGCGGCTAATCCCCGCCCCCTCCGCCCGCGCCGCCCCACCCTCTACCGCTAGGCCACGCCCCATGAACACCGATTCAACCACACACCCGCCCCCCAGAAGACGGAATGGTTCTGTTCTCCTGCATCCCCATAATCTTGGTACAATCCACGACCTGGGCCCCACCCCATTCTAGGCCCCGCCCATTACTTTGCCCCCCCTCCCCGTACAACTACCTGTGCCTCTGTAACATGGGCCCTGGCCCTGTTGTCACCTTCGGACGTCACAAAGAGACACCAATCCAATGAAAGGTTGGTTATGTGCCGCCTTTTCTGTAACGGTGTGGAGGTGCTGGTGTCGGACTGGGGTGGACCAAGTCAGAAGTCACACGACACCAGGTTATAGTCCAACAGTTTATTTGAGCTTGTGATTTCAAGTAAACCTGTCGGACTATAACTCAGTGTCGTGTGACTTCTGACATTTTCTGCAATGTTCAGCCTCTGTTTGATCGGACTCTGCAGGATCAATGACTATGAAAATATGTACATGTACGGGTTTATTGGGCACAAAGAGCCTAAAGGCCCGTTACAATTTGATCACATTTAAGATAAACCGAATAAAAGTTTCATGAACCGTTAAGCCATCGTGGATGGGTGTCTAGATTGAGGAATGCAACGATTCAGCGGAAAGTAATTGCGTACGCTTATATTTGTATCACAATTCTGGAAAGCTCAAGAGAACCAAAGTTAACCAAAAGACTCTTACCGCCCGTGCCAATGCAAAACAATGTCCCAGCGTAACAAATCAACTCCCCTTCATTTTTACAGGATGTTATGAGGACATTTTTTATGACTCAACGAGTAGTTAGGATTTGGAATGCACTGCCTGGAGGCATTTCAGTTGTGGTATTCAAGAGGTCATTGGATGATTATTTAGAAAGAAAATGACGTACAAGGTTACGGGGAAAGAAAGGGGAGATTTACTTTGGGTAATTGTACTCATTTAATATGCCAGTGCAAATAAGGTGGGCCGAATGACCTCCATTGCTGTAACATTTCTCTGAGTCTGTGACATATCCTTTTGTTTTTTTTAATATTGAACTCAATGACCAGAAATTAACAGATGTATTAGAGAATGCACAGCTGTGGAACGGACAGGCAAAGAAAGAATTGTTCCAAAGACAACAAGGTGCAGGACTGGATGAACACAGCAGGCCAAGCAGCATCATAGGAGCAGAGAGGCTGACGTTTCGGGCCTAGACCCTTGCTGCTTTTTAAAGACAATGATGGAACAGTTCACATGTGAGAAACTCGAGCATTGGTCTATCCATCTCGTTACATAGACATCAACGGCGGGGCGAGGACAGTGCGGACATGTACAAGAGGCCGAATTTAAACCAACAGGTTGGAGGATGGATGTACAGTAGGTGAAGAAATTAGGCCAATGATGCATTTACGTTCATTACGTATCGAAGTGTGAAATATGTTTGACCTTTTCAATTTCTTTTAAACACTCTTTACTTTGGCTATGGTCGTTTTGATTATAAAGGAATGACGGAATGCTAACTGAAAGAATACAACTGTAGAATCAATACCAGAATGTTACGCTGTGGGTAACTAGCCCTTCAGTTAATTTGGAAAGTACAAGAAGACAGGAAATCTACAGAGGGATATAGTCAGATTAAGTGATTGGGAAAAAAGGAGTAAAGTGTGGTAAAATGTAAATAATGTGTATTTCGTCAGGAAGAACAGAACAGCTACATATATATTTAAATGGAGAGAGTTTATTGAACTCAGATATAGGAGGATCTGGATATGGAGCCAGATGAATCACAAAACGTTCGTATGCAGGTAAAGGAAGGAATAAGAAAGCAAAAGATTTGCAGTATTTTATCGCAAGTGGAATGGAATATGAATGTAAAAATGCATTGCCGAAGTTTTTAGGGTCTGAGTGAGATCGCACCTGAGAATTGTGTGCAATTCCGGTCTCCTTATTTAAGAAAGCATCTAATTGCATTAAACACGATTCCGAGAAGGTTCACCCAACTAATGCTTGAGTTACGGGTGTTATCTTATGCTTGGAAATATATCCATTTGAGTTTAGAAGTACAACATGTTATCTCATTGGAAACAAATCCCGAGTGGACTTGGTAGGGTGGATACTGAAAGATTTTCTTCTTGTGGGAGAGACAATAACTGGGGACACAGTTGCAATATTAATACCCCTCCCACAGACCAACCCCTTTCTTCTTGATTTCCGTCTTGAATTGACCTTGTCCAAGGTTTCCGTCAGCTGTTGTTTCTGCCTCTTGCTGAGACCGAGGTAGTGGAAACCTTCATACTGCCATGAGCAGGTTTGTGCCTGTGTCTTTCTTACTGGAATGTCGCTAACGCCAGTGCCAGTACTCTTTGTGGAGTAGGTGTGAAGAATTCGGACAATAGATGTTTCGAATGAGGAACACACACGCACGGCATTAAGTCATAGAGTACGGAAACAGATTCCGGTCAAATTCGTCATGCACTTTGCCCGATCTCCCCAACAAAAACAGCAACAACAAAAAAAAAAGCGCCAGTTCAAGGCGGACGTAGTAGAAAGAGTCTCGGGTTATGACCCCTCGCCGCCAGCCAGTCCCGTGCTTCGTCTATATTGTAATTTCGCGGTAATATGTATCGATCCGCTGATTTCCCACCAAAACCTGTAATTCCTGCCAGGCCTCATCTCATGTTTACTTTCCTTTGGTGGAATGAATTGGGCTATTCGTGGTCGTCCTGTTGCGAAACAATTACGTTCGCTGGGAATGTGCAGCGAGTTTAAAGTCTATCCCCAAGAAATATTCCTACGGTTAAAACATTTGTTTTACTATTTAATGGTTAGGCTAAAAGCAAAATACTGCGGATACTGAAGATCTGAAGTCAAAAAAAACTTGAGAAATTTAGTAAGCCTGGCAACACCTGAGAGATAAAGAGTCAATGGTTCGAGTCCAAAGATTTCTTCCGAACAGTTACTTCAAAGCAGTTTAAAAAGCTTCAAAGTAATTTGGTCCCATTTAATTCTTTGTACAATTACTTCTGTGGTTCTGAAAACAATCCTCAGTGTATGTTTTAAGACTTAAACTTGGATTCGCTTCTTCAAGAGGCTTTTCCAGTTAAATTGTTCAATTCTAGTTCAATTATTCAATTGATCGCGCAGGAACGACGTACAAATAAATTCGCCTTCATGCCCCCTTTCCCACACTTTTATTTGCAAAGCTGAAGGTATCTGCTCAGCAATTGCTTCCTTTCGTTTGTTCCTTGACTGATCCAGTGACTCGAGCATTATCGACTCAACCAGGTTTTTTGAGAAACCGACACTCAAAACAGAAATCCTAAGGGAAAAAAATGCTAGTAGTGTATTCGGCATTTGGGTGAAGTCCTTGCGTACAGGTTCAGCGATTCCGGAAGAGAGCTCAACTATCTTCTCAATAGCAAACACGGACGGAAATAAAGCCATCGACGCCCACATCCCAGGAGTGAAAAAAAAAAGCATAAACCTGTTAGCAATTATGTAGAAATCTTGAAATTAGCCGATGCTGGAAACACTCATACCCGGCAGCATCTGGAGGGAGAGAAAAAAAAATCACAAGACAGAACCGGGAGAAGTTAGGGAGATTTGAGTCTTATCCCACGTTTAAAAGCTCACGTTCGCCGTCCTACGATCGGGGTATTCGAAGTGTTCTCATCCGAAATTCAAACAAAAATAGCACGCTCGTTGTAAAAGGAGTAGCGAAGGCGGCCTGAAACGCAACTCAAACCAGATAAAAGTGAATGAATCCCAACTCCAAACTTGTAAAATTTATACAATTTATTTAACTCTTACTCGCCGTGCTTTTAATCACCAAGTCAGGACATATGCGCCGACAGGTGATTTATTAAATGACGTTGTTTTAGAAAAAAATATATACTAAGGCGTTAATTTTCTAAAGTCCACCAGGTACTAAAGGAAATATCCGCCAACTTTCGTACAGTCAGCTCCGTTTTGCTAAATTCGGTGGCTCTGAAAAGAGCCTTTGTGTTCAAATAATTAAGACTGTTCTTCACGGTTTGCTCAACTTGTTTACCGCCGGGAGTAGCAGCTTCTCTTGGCCGCGAAGGTCGAGTATTTCCTCGGGCGCCCTACCGGTCTTTTGGGTTTACCTCCGGGCGGCCGCCGGCGCCGCATGTTTGGCCCAGACACCCCCTTCCTGCCACCGCCGAGGCGGAGCGGCTTGTTCTTGCGGTAAAGACGCGCCGCTCTACCGGCTGCGCCACGGTTGGGTCGCCGGGCGGTGGCCTTGAGCTTGCGACGAGCCGATGGCGTCGCCTTTCTGTGCTTGGCAGACGCCGCTTTCCGCCGCTTGGCAACGGCCGCCCCTCGTCCCTTTTTGGTGGCCGAGCTCTTGACGTGAGTTGACTTCTTGGACGAGGTCGCTGTAGCTTTGGCGGTCGAAGTTTTCTTCTTGAGGGCGGAGGCGGCGCCGCCACCGGTTTCCTCCTTGGCCGAGGCGGCAGCCGCGGCAAGAGTGCTGCCGCCGCCTTGTACTCCCGGTCCCCCTAAGCCCAGCGCCGGAGTATCAGCGCGGGTGCGAGAACGGTTGAAGCGGAACGAGCCCGAAGCCCCGATGCCCGCCGTCTGCACCAAGGAGCCGTTGCGGACCAGGTTCTTCACCGCTTGGTTGATCCGCGTGTTATTGCGGCTCACGTCGTAGCCCTTGGCCGACAGAGCCTTCTTGAGGGCGGGCAGAGAGATGCCGCGCCGCTCCTTGGTGGCGGCAGCTACCTGCAGGATACGCTGGGTGACGGTGGGGCCCGTCTTCTTACGGCGCTGCGGGGAGCGGAGCGGCGGGTACTGCTTCTTCTTGCGGGCGATTGCCTTGTCGACGCTCAGATCCGCCACGTCTTCCACCTTCTGGCTGCTGTCGGTCATGCTCGCGGTTTAGGATGGAGCTGTTGGGAAAGAAAAAAAGAGAGAAGGGTCTCGAGGAAGAGAAAGGACCCAAGAGGGTAAAAGGGCGGTTTCAGCTCTTGCCCGCTCTCGCTCTCTTGTGCCGCTCCCAGTGTCTCGGTCGGTTGCTCTATCTCTATTTCAGCCTCCGCCACCAATCGCGGCTGAAACTGAAGAGGCGACGACCCGAAGCGGCCCCTTTTATAGGGCAAAGGCGGACGGAGAGGTGCCAACTTCCGCCCCACCCTCTCCCTGCAGCCACTTATCACCTCCCGTCCCACCCACATGCTTTCTTCAGTGGGACAGTTGTTAAGGACGCATGTAGGAGGGATATTATACGTTATTCGAGGCATTGAGTACAGGAACGAGGAGACTATCATGGAGTTGTGCGTACCGTTTGTTAGGCCACGGTTGAAGTACTGTGTGCAGTTCTGGTCGCCAGTCAATAGGAACGATTCAAGGTGAATTCAGTGAAGACTCACCAGGATGTTGCCTGCATTGGAGCGATTCAGCAGTAAAGTCAGAGTACATAGACTAGGGTCGTTTTCCTTAAGCTGAAGGGGTTTCTCGTTGAGGTGCACAAAGTTCTGAGGTGTATAGACAGCGTAGATAGGGAAAAACTTTTCCCTCTTAGGAAAGCGGTCAGTAATCAGGGGACATAGATTTAAGGAAAGGAGCAGGGTGTTTGGAGTGGGTTTTGAGGGAAAAATATGCACCATACCCAGAAAGTGACTGGTATCTGGAACTCACTGCCTGGGTAGAAGCAGGAACCATTACAACATTTCACAAGAATTTAAATGAACGCTTGAAGTGTAATGGTATACAAGACTAGAGGCCAAGTGCTGGGATATGAGGGATGTTGATGACCAGCGCAGACATGAGGGACCAAAAGGCCTTTTCCTTGCTGTTTAAAACTCTGACCCGCTCCGTGGTTCACCCCAGGTCTTTCGTGTTCTCATTCTGCTTCTTTGCCACAACCCCAATGCCGTCCGCCCAGACTCTCACCAAACCCACACCATGGACCCTGCTCTTCCGCCCTTCACTCTGCTGGGGAGAGGGTGAGGGGAAGAGTGATGGCCATTCCTCCAAACTATGTATGTGCGTGTGGTATGTGGGGGAAGTAGGGTGATGATAGGGCTGGCAAGGCAGAGGACGGACTCGGGTCTGGTTGGACTCCGGAGGAGAAAGCCGCAGGGAGAGCGGCGCGGTGAGAGGCCGGGCCGATATCACCGCCTCCGCTAAATCGATCGGAGCAGACCCATGTCCGGTCCGGACATTTCCAGTTTGCATCAATCCAGAGACGGCGATTGTAGCCATTTTCACATGCTTAGGGGGAGTTGGGGAAGGGAATGGCTAGTTGCAAAAAAAAAGAACTGGTTTATTATTCACTTTTAAAACGCCGTTCAACTCAAGCCAGAACACTTGTGCGTTTAATTTTGTTTCACTATCATTTTTATCTTCAGACTGGAGTTAATTTCTTTCCGCCAGATCTCAGGTTCCTCCAACCATCCCGGTTCAGAGACTGCGCAGGTCTTCTCTCAGCTTGTGTCAATTAAAAGGACATGTTGCCTAATGTTCTTTGAAATGCAGATGAGAATATCGAAGACGGTGATCATGAGCTTTTAACTAATCGGCCAAACTCAAATCTTCCACCTCCCAACTTCCCCAAGTTCTGGTCTCAATCGTGTTGCGAGCAGGAACAAGTCTGAAGAACAAGAATAACTCAGTGACTTGGTGACAGTAAGGACTGTAGATGCTGGAAGCCAGAGTCAATCGGTGTGAGGCCGGAAAAGCATAGCAGGACAGGCAGCATCAGAGGAGCAGCTGATATTTCGCCATGGAAGCTTACAGCCCAATGGCCTTAACATTGACTTCACCAGCTTCAAAATCCCTTCACCCCAGCCTTAATCCCATGTCCAGTCCTCCCCCTCCTGACCTGACCTAACCTCTCCATTTCCCTACTCCTATCCGCTGCACCGTTCCCATGGACAATTCACAATAATCCCCTACCTACATCCCCTACTAATCACCCATCTCTCCTACCCTTCCCCCAGCCCTAGCCCCTTCCCTCTATTTATTTCTGGGCTCCTCTCTCTCCCTCCCCAGTCCTGACGAAGGGTTTCGGCCTGAAAACTTGACTTTGCTGCTCCTCTGATGCTGTCAGACCTGCTGTGATTTTCCAGCCTCGCAATCAGTGAACGCTGATCAGAGGCAGTTCCTTTACCATTGAAAAGTTGACCAGTCCAATTTCAAACTTATCCCGGTTTTCCCAAGAAGCGCTATTTATAATACATCACATTTCCATGTCATTGCATCATTAACTATTACCCGGTTTTATGCCATCCACCGGCTTATTAGCGAGCCTTACAGACGGAGTCGCATGACACTTCTCGCCCTCGCTTGTACTTGGGAATGCAAGGCCTATCTCTATTCTAATTAGTAATAACGTTTGGGTGACTTTAACGGAACTGAACTTTTATGAATGTCCTTGCTATGAGGTATGTGTAAAATAGCACTTAAAATACTGCTGTAAAATAAACTTTTAGCAATACTTTTACGGCTCATCACTACATGACAATAATTTCTGACAAATGCGCCAAATCAGGAATAAATGCGGGAAATAAGGCGCCACATAGGAGCACTGCAACGACATCAAATGTTCCCTTTCAATATTTGAAGGTCAGTTGAAATTTGTAGTCGACCCGCTTCTGACTAACCTGAAAAAAAAAACATTTCTGTGGTTGGAAAGCGTTCTGGGGTGTCTTAATGTTGTTATAATTTTGGGAGGTTTTTGGTCTTTTCCAGTCGCAGTTTCGCATTACATATGTATCTTCGCCCAAATTCGTTATCAGATCAGATCCTCTGGACGTCATATCCAAACTGACCGGCATCGATTTGTTTTGCATTTCTCTCTGCACACAGGGGATAACTCTCCTGGAGAATCCCTTCGCAATGTCTGCACGAATTTGCCAAGGCCTCTGAAACACAACGCCAGGGTCCACCCACCAGGAATTCAACGGTTATGATCAAACTGGATCCTGGCCAGGAGGCCCGGGGTTCAAGTCTCATCTGCTCCAGAGGTGTCATAGCATGTTGCTTAAAAATATACTAAACTGGATCTTTTGTGTTTGAAGTTTATTCATAAGTTTTAGTACCAAAATAAATGCTTTTCATTAAAAGAATTGGAATTAAAAGTCCGATCCAGATGACTTAAAAGTAATTCAGCAGAAAGTTTCCTTTCCAGTCAAATAATTTGCCCTGTCTGAAGATTTATTAAGTGGATTTTCCTTTAAGCAACATAGGAAACCCAGGCAACTTCCAGAAGCGGGGAATAAACTGTTAAGCGCCTTGTTCATCGATCTCTTTCCCCAAGGCTTTTGTCAAAGGGGAACAAGTGTGTCAAGAACGGGGGCGGGGCGCGGGGATGGGTGTGGAGCTGGTGCATGGGGCTTAATTCACCTTGGGCTGTGCAGTGAAATTGATGTTAGCGTCGCCCGTTTGCAGAACTACAGCGGAGTTCAATATCAGGCAGGATGCACCAGGAATTATGGGCAAGTGCTGTGTTCTGAGCAATACTTGCTTAAATGCAAGATCTACGATTAACGTTTCTCCGTCCAGATCCTCACGAAAGAGGATCACCTACAGCTCTCCACGTCTCTTTATAAGCGAGTCCCTGAAAAAGCCAGCTCACCTCTCCAGGAAACCCACGTGGAATGATTCAGCCTCTAAAGAGGCAAATTTAGCCCAGGGTGACACATCGGATTGAATGACCCATATCAGATTGTGAGATAGCAAGGACTGCAGATTCGGGAAGTCAAGAGTAGATAAAGTGTGGAGCTGGAGCAGCACAGCAGGTCAGACAGCATCAGAGGAGCAGGAAAGTTGAAACTTTCCGACCCGAAACGTCGACTTTCCTGCTCCTGTGATGCTGACAACCTGCTGTGCTTCTCCAGCTCCACACTTTATCGAATATACCAGATTGTGCTCAGTTTGCCAAAAACTCCCAGCAACCGGTGAACAGCAGATCAAACAGACTCGGATCTGAAAATGCGCTACCCCAGACGATGAAGGGAGAAAATCAATTCAACAGAAGAATCGGTTGTTTTTTTTTAGAAACAAAAAAGGCACATCTTGCAGAGTTAATGAGGAAAGGGCGGGGAAGTGCCACTAATTGGTAGCTGTTCCGGTGAACTGAAAGAAATCCGATGGAACGTGTGGTCTTCTGCGCTATTTGAATAAGTAAGTTAGCTGTAAAAGTTTTGGTTAAGTCCAAGGCCACTGGGTGCACGGGTTATTTCAGCACAGAAACATAGAAATGTAGAGCACAGAACCGTTTGGCCTATCGCGCCCAAACAAACCAAAAAGTTTAGTGCAATGTTACTTCACAGCTCCCTGGCTTCAACCTTGTACGTTACTGGATTTCAACAGGGTAACCAAGTGCTTTCCAGGCCGCCCTTTCAGACTCTTAGTCTCAGACCCCCAGCATTTACTGGCTAAAAATACTTTGCCTGCCACCCCCCTTCTAAAACTCTAATGCACTCTACAAAACTCATCAATTACACAAGTCAGTTAGGTCTTCCTTGAACATCCTCTGTTCTACCTTATTGAACTTATTTGCTGTAATTATACTTGTTTAACAGTGATTACCTTACTGAACGTAACGTTCGCTGGTGTCAGGTTTTAACTCGTTTGGAATGTTCAGGCCATTCTCTAAAGCCCCAATATTTCCGAAGCACTGAGTTCAATATGCCAGTGGTAACGGCTTTAAAGTTCATGAGCAGCAAAAAAGGAAACAGAATGACATACCATGAGGATTCAGTCAGACGAAATTCTTTATTTTTTCATGGTTTCCTTCCTGCTAAGCCAGCATTTTATAACCATCTCTAATCGCCCCTTCTTAGTGCTTGCTCAGCTATTTTAGAGTGAACAAACTGTGGGGCTACATGTAGGCCAGACAAGGTGTGAACAACAGATTTCCTCCACATTTAGTGAATTAGACAGTCTGATGTTATTGCAGCAGTTAAAGTGATCTGTGTGTGTGTATAAGAGACGGTGAACATATCTCACCACATTTAATTTCTATGCTGATATGTTACAGTCAGGCGGAAATTAGTCATAAAATGTCTCCTGAAATGTTGGTTTTAGCAGGGA